TCTTGCTCTTGCTCGGGCTGGTTTCAAACTCCTGAGCTCAAACAATCCGCCCGCCTCGGCCTCCCAGAGTGCTAGGATTTCAGGCGTGAGCCACCGTGCCCGGCTTCTAATGTAGTTCTTATTAATAATTTTGAGTATTTGGCCAGTAGAAGAGTATACAACTGGGCTAACCAGGTTAAATACATCTTTAAACTATGTCAGATTTAATATAATGGTGTGTTAGTTATATGTATAATGATGTTCTACTGAAACAATTATTAAGACACAATTATTTCTCTACAATTAATATTAATGTAATATTTCTGAACATGTTGTTCAGAAACAGTAGATAATTGTAACGGTAATTTTTAGCCAAATTCAAAAAATATATGTGGAATTCTCTATTAGTTTAGTAATGATGGAATATCTAGGATTAACATCTCTTTGTAGGGCAGTATACTTCTCTTAGAAAGCTACAACAATGTGTTTCCTTATTTTTCTTTAGCTTTTAGGAAGCTCAGAGAGAATTTTTGTACTGACTTGCAATAGATTTTTTTAGCCAACAGTGTTTTATACATAATGTTTTCCTCTACTTGCCCATTTAGCTTTTGTTTACTATTGTCTGTTAATGAGTACTTATCTGTACTGTATGGTGAGGTATCTCATAATCTTTCATAAATTCAAGATGTATATATATATGATTTATATTTATCGATATGATTAAGTTTGATTTGTGATTGTTGCTTATTTAGGTTTTTATTTAAATAACTCAGAACTTACCAATTTTATTTTATAAGTCACACCTGGTATTAAGCTCTTATTGTCATCCCATGACCTTTAGAACAAGGTTCCAAATCTTCCATATGTAGTTCAAAGGCATGATGATTCGACATGACCTAATGTTTCCCTCTCAATTTTTATTATGCTCCGCACTGTGCTTTATAATCCATCTGTACCAAAGTACTCATTGTCCCTTGAAGAGCCACACAATTTTTATCACAGCTCACTTTGTCTATGTGCCCTTTACTCAGCTCATCTAAAAAAAAAATCTTACTTTTCTTTCAAGTCCAAATGACACCTTCCATTTGGAATTATTCATGTCTCATTGCACTTTCATTCAGATTTCTATCTTACTACTTAAAATGTTATTTCACATTCAAGGGGAGGAACTTGAGCTCACTTTACATAATGAATAGGAATTTGGTGGGCAGAGAGGAGGTAAGGAAATGGCAAGAGAAACCTGTAAAAATGGGAAAGCCAATAGCACAAACCCACAAGACTACACAGTCTAATTTGAGTGTAGGTGAAATTTCAGGTAATAGAGAAAATGGGACACAAATTTGGAAAGATAGTTTGGGTTGGAGTATGTAGATCCTGAATGTAACACTGAGAAGTAGACTCTACCATAAAAGCCAAAATATGACTTGAAGTTTTTGATTAGCAGATTTATATAAAATGGTGTTTGAGGGAATTGTGACTCCTTTTACTGTAGTAGAAATCCATTGCTTAAGCTATGTTTTTTTTTTCCTTTTTCATTGAAATTTTACTATAGAACTTCTTCAGAGAATAAAAATACGTTTTTCTTCAAAATGGTTGTCAGGAGATACAATAGAAGGTGCTTCATTACAATCAATGTAAAGCATATTCGAGGGCTTTGACCATACCACATTTTAAAGGGAGTTTGAATGTTTTCTTGAGCTCTTTGGTTTTTTTTTTTTTTTAATTATTATGGGTATGTAATGGTTGTATATATATGGGGTACATGTGATGTTTTGATACAGGCATACAATGTATAATAATCAAATCAGGGTAATTGGAATATTTATCATCTCAAGCATTTATCATTTCTTTCTTTTCTTTTTTTTTTTTTTTTGACAGGGTTTTGCTCTGTCACCCAGGCTGGAGTACAGTGGCCTCATCATAGCTCACTGCAGCCTCAAACTCCTTGGCTCAAGCAGTCCTCCTGCCTTAGCCTCTCTAGTAGCTGGGACTACAGGTGTGCACCACCACGCCAGGCTAATTTTTTCTATTTTTTGTAGAGACAGGGTCTTGCTCTTGCTCAGGCTTGTCTCGAACTCCTGGCCTCAAGCAATCCTCCCGCCTTGGCCTCCCAAAGTGCTAGGATTATAGGCATGAGCCACTGTGCCCAGCCTGCATTTATCATTTCTTTGTAATGGGAACATTCCAATTCTACTCTTTCAGTTTTTTAAAAATATATAACTAACTTATTTTTGATTATAGTCATTTTGTTATGAGATCTTGTTCATTTTATCTAACTGTATTTTTGAGAGCTTATCCTAAATAAAGTTATAACTAATACAGCATGTTTTATGATTGTTTAGGATGAAGTCAGATTCTTTTCTCCAGGAAATGCCAAATGTAATTAATATGCCTCGTGGGGACCACATGATCAACAATGGCCAGTGCATTCTTCCGGTTGATTTAGAAAAAGAAAAACGGAAAAATAGAAAGAATCTGAGCTGTACCAATGTGCTCCAAAGCAATCCTGTGAAAAAATGTGGAATTGACACAATTGATTTGCAAAGAAATGAAACTCCACCAGTTCCTCCTCCAAGAAGCACCTCTCGAAATTTTCCCAGCTCAGATTCTGAACAAACCTATGAAAGGTTGAAGGAAAGTTTAGAACACAACAGCTGGGTGGCCCATGAGGGTCTAAGTGAAAGGAACTGCAATCTTCACTTCCTTTTGAGGCAGCATGAAATACCTATGTTGTGTCCAAATGAAGAAAAGACTTTGAAAGATGGTATCATGTTTTCCTCTTTGGCACCAGAAGTCAAAATAGATAGCAAGCCTCCAAGTAAAGATGTCGGCCTTAGCATGTGGTCATATGACATTGATATAGGTGCCAAAAAGAGTCCCTCCACTTTTTGGTTTCAGAAAACCTGCTCTATTCCCAATAAGCCAAAATATGAAATGGTGATCCCAGATCACTCTGCTAAATCTCATCCTGATCTTCATGTAAGTAATGACTGTAGCTCCTCAGTGACACAGAGCGGTAACCCACTTAGAAGTTTCAGTTGTGGCTTTGAAAGAACTACAAAGAATGAAAAGCTGGCAGCAAAGACTGATGAATTTAACAGAACTGTATTTAGAACAGATAGAAATTGTCATGCAATACAGCAAAATCAAAGCTACTCTGAGGATCTTAAGCCCTGTGATACCTTGTCTACTCATATAGGTAACATATCAGAAAATGACAATGTGTCCGGTACTTGGAAAGCCAGTGCCCACATGCCTGTGCCCATGGAAAATGTGCCTGATAGTCCCACCAAGAAATCCACAACAGAACTAGTCACACAAATGCAGGGACACGTAAATCCTCGCAGTTACCGGAATATGCTCCATGAGCATGATTGGAGACCAAGTAATTTGTCTGGTCGACCAAGGTCGGCTGATCCCAGGTCAAATTATGGTGTCGTGGAAAAGCTGCTGAAAACCTATGAGACATCAACAGGGTCTGCGTTGCAAAATTCTAAGCGCTTCCGGGATAATTGGATCAAATGTAATTTTGATGTCAGTGGTGGTGCCACATTAAGTCAGCATTTAGAAATGCTCCAAATGGAACAAGAATTTCAGCAAAAGACAGCTATGTGTGGGAGACAGCAAGTGAAGCAAGGAATAGATCAGAAAAAGCTATCAGAGGTGAGAAAGCAAATAACATAGTTTGGTAGAGATGCATCCATATTTAGTCCAATCCATTGCCCATTCGTATAAATAGGATGTAGACATTTTGGCCTCTTCTTACCTGCTTGACCCTCTGTTTGTGAATAAATATAACTCAAAAGGAACTTTTAAGGTATAGTTTTTAAGAATGGGAATAGTACATTATAACTTTTTTACAGTTTTGTAATGGGATAACATAAATATAATAAGTGAATTTCAGCCTCCGGAAGATCAAATGTTTGTTCTTTATTGAAAAAATACTCAGAATGGACATGGGTTGATTTATAAAATTTTATTCTTTTAAAGGTTCATTTTTTTTAAGTATATGGAAAATATTTTAAAAATAATTTTCACTTTTCAGTTAACAACTATGATTGCTTCAGTCATTCTCAGCATTTGATTCATGTTCTTTCTCATCAGATTAGTCACATTAAAGGTGAATATGGGTAAAACATGTCATTTAAAACAGCACCTAGTAGGGTTCTTTTATGGAACTAAAAGATAGTATATAAAAATAAGGTCATTATTATTTGTATATATTCTTAGCATGGAAATTGGAAAAAATTTAAATGGGCATTTAAATAAACTTATCCTTTTTTTGTTCCTGTGCATTTCAAAAGAGCATAATCTTCATTAATTATAGGAGAAAAAGAGGTCAAAGAAATTGGTATTTACAACGAAGAGTCATACAACAGCCCCTTTTTATGCATATAATTATTGAGAACATAACTTACAAAAAGTTACAAGGTGGCATATTGTTATTATTAGCCAATACTTCAAAAATTCCAGTCTTACAGAATGCTGTGTGTATGCAGCATGGTTTTTAAGCGATGCAGGTTGACTCCTTCTGGTGTAAAATATTATTATGTGGATTTCGAATCCTGCAAAAATACCAATTTTCATCCATTTTATCAGAAATCTTGCCTGTGTCTGATAAAAACAGAAGGTACAAATAATTATCCTGCTTTTTTGTATTTCTCAGCTTAAAAAACTAAAAGCTTAGAAGTTGAGCTCATAAATGCCTGTAAGGTCCTATAGCTAGAGACGGGAAATGGAAACCTGTGTACAACAACCAACCAAAATTCTCATTAACTAACAAGAAATACTACTAAATGTTTTCCCTTTTTGCATTGATAGGAGGTTTGGGAGAGAGGTCCTGTATTACAGATCCATCCTTACTTTTGTTTTGGTTTTCTTTTTTTCCCCCTCTGTGAATAAATCTAAACAATAAGTCTCCAAAGAGAGAAAAGAAAATGCAGGTTAGTGTCAGGCCTTGACTAAAATAGTAGAAATAGAGGCAGTTCCACTGCCCATCCCAGGTGAAAGAATACAGTCTTGGTTAAAAGGTTCAGTAAGAACCAAGTGTGTAAAATGTCATGAAAGCTTTTTAATTTTAAGGATCAAAAAGTGCTTTTCTTTCATTGAAATAAAAAAAGAAGAAGAAAGGAAATAAAAGAAAGAGAAGGAAAGAAAAGGAAAAGGTTTTCACACATCAGAACATGCCCAGTAGAGACAGTAATTCTTTATTAGCAATTATTAATAGAATGAAGTTGTATTTAAAAGTATTTTGACGATGATTTTTAGACTTTTGAGAGATAGTAACAGTGATTCTGAGTGAAAAAAAAGGCATCAGATAAATAATTCAGTTTGTGTGCCTTTTGCTTATGAACTCTAAAAGTGCCAATCATATTAAAATTTGTTAGTGTGAGGAAAGCTACAAGATTATCAAGTGCCATATTCCAAATTCAATTAAAATGGAATTGCTTTGATTAAAACATCCAAGACCACAAATATCAGACAAATACCTTCTTTAGTTTTCATTGCTTGTTTTTGCTTGTAAATTTGCTAATACATGAACCTCATAGTTGGGATCTATAATATATTAAGCCCACTGTTGGTGCCTGTATAGTAAGAGATGCCTTCATTTGTGTCCTAGGAATCCATGGCGGTGAAAACTTCACATGGAAAAGGATTTTCCCGACCTGCTAGACCAGCAAATCGCCGTCTCCCATCCAGATGGGCATCTAGATCTCCATCAGCGCCCCCCGCCTTGCGGAGAACTGCCCACAGCCATACAATTTCTTTGCGATCCGAAGCATCAATGATCTAAGTCTCTGGCCTGGATTGTGAGATTACAAAAGTTCTAGTCCCAGTTGACAAACAGAACACTCAGTGTTTACAGCCAGTCCTGTTCTCTTCTGTATCTTTCAAGATCACTGGGACAAGCAACTTAATTCTTAACTTTCCATCAGTCTTCAGTGTTTTTAATCCACGGAATAATTATTTTCCTGTGTTTTGATTTCTTAGATCAGAATTTTTTAATGCCATCCTCATTAATTTTCCAATATGATTTAAGTTGAAACAATGTATAATATTGTATATTCAAACTTTCTTGCAAGTGGCAGAAAGCAAGTTTATGTGCATGGCCATGTGTTTGTATAGGTGCATGTGATGAAATAGGAAGTATCCTAGTATGTATTTAGATTAGAAAAACTTATGTGCTAGTGTTGACTTTGAAATTATAACATGTATACCTATATATTCTTTGTGTTTATTTAAAAGTTTTGAAAATATATAGTACTATTTATATTTTGTATACCTTTTAATAGGTATCCACTTAAGCATTTGAGGTACATATATTAATTAACCACTTCCTTGACCCCCAGCTACATTGAAAAATAAGAATTATACACATATCTAACATTGGTAGATTTCTAAATACAATTTATAAATAGTTTCTTAACCCATCTAAGGATAAACTAATACCATTGATCTCCTTGTTTATTCTTTTTTAAAGTGTCAGAAGTTTAACAGATCAGCTTTCCAAAGCAGGCATAAAACATTCATAAATGCTTTCGTGTATCATTTGGTAGTCTGGTATGGTTTTAACTATATACTTGATCCTCAGAGCCAATGTCAGGAGACTGCCTTATAAATGACTAAATAATGAATTTATTTTGTCAACCTCAGTAACGAACAATCCTTAAACAGGATGCAAAAAACATTATTATGTTGAATTTTACTCTTTGTTAAAATTGTGATAAGCTTTTAGTTTAGCTGCTTTACTTGGAGTCCTATATATTTAGAGGTAAGTCATTCATTTTTTTCCTTTTTCTCACCTTTCCCTAAAATTAGTAGATAAAAGACTAATTCACTTTTTTTAACCAATGAAGATCAAGAATAATGTTTAATTGAGACCTGAATTATATTTCTTATAGTGTGCTACAAAAAAAAAAAAAAAAAAAGCCTTAAACTAAGCATTGACATCCCATAGTAGCATCAGGAAGAGAAACATATATTTTGGCTACAAATTGCATACAGTGAACACACAAAGTATGTATTGAGAACTGATAGAGATATTAATGTTGAGATGCTTGGAATACTACATGGAAGATCTTAGAAGCAACCTTACTCCCACTGTCTCTATATAAAACCAATTATGTTGTTAGTTAGATATTAATTCTGTTTAAGCTTTTCTCTTACTACCAAAAAAGGTTAAGCAACTCTTATGCCAAACATATTCAAAAAGCCTTTTCCTTATGATGTTTTCTAACCATTTAGAGAAATTTACTTCATTCTACACAGTGACCTGGAGTAAAGTAAATAATTTTCAAATTGCAATTTCAAATTGCAGACTGCCTTGAAAGGCCCAAGACTGGTGATGTCTAGATCCATACTTTACAATAAGGAGACTTTCAGGAGTTACGCAGAATTAAACTTCTAGAATGTGAGTTTGGATCAGATGGTAAGTAAGGGCTGTAGATGCACTCTTTTAATTTTGTTTCTTTTAGAAATATCCTTTTCCACAGGAAACCTATCAAAGAAAAATAACCTAGACTCTCTCATAACATACTTTTCAGCTAGAGGGGAGAAAACACCAAGAAGGTGGAACTCTGGGGCATAAAATAATGGGCCTTTTAGGAAAATGCTGCTGTGTGACCTTGGCAAGCCTGCCCGAGGACTGTGTGACATACCTGTTCCTCTCCAGCACTGTATCCCAGGTAGTCTGCTATGATCTGCGGTTGCTACCTTTACCTATAAACCAGAAATTAAGCATCTCTTTAAACAATGCAATTTCTGATCTCATTCCATAATTACTAAAGCAAAATTTCCAGAGGGGGAGACTGGGACTCTGGAGTCTTTAATAAAACCAAACTAAGCAAAGCAAAATATTTGATGACCAGGCAGATTTGGAAGCAGTGACATTGATTAATACTTGAATGGATGAGTACCCACCCTTGGGTGGTCACATTCCTTCTCTGAGACTTACCTTTGTTAGCTGTAAATTAAAAGTGTTATATTGTCAGGCTTCACAGTTTTAAGCTACTTTTTTGGTTAACTTCTGAATGAACCATTGGGACACATTTTAATATCTTCTTATGTTGACTAAAATCATAGCATATTAGAGCTGAAAAAATAATTAGCATCTATGCCAACCACTTGATTGTAAAACTGAAGAAACTAAAACAGATTATTTGAATGTTGTTTTCTCTTTTTAAATATTTTATAATTTTTTAATGGAAAAACCTATTAGGTAAATAGGAATTATCCTTGAAAATAATTTTTGATGTATTGTGATTTTTAGCTGGTAATTTTTCTACTTTGAATGGATGTTTTCTTCCCAACAACATAACTTTCATTATACCATCATTGCTAGATTTAAAGGATTTTTAAACATTTCTAGAAATATTTGATTAGAAACACTTAAATTAATAGATGTTTTCTCTAGCAGACTTGGGAAAAAAAATCTTAAATTATTTCGACAGCAGATTACTGAAATTATAGGCTGATCTCAGAAAAGAATAAGAATGAGGCAGAGAAGAGTACCTGAGTTTGTGTATGTGCGTGTGTGTGCACCACCATCACATCAAGTTCTCTGTATTGCCTTATGTCCCAAAGCCAAATATGAAAATATAAATGATGCTTTGTATAATTCACTTTATCAAAAATTATCCATAACTTTCGTTTGTTTTTATATAGACAACGAAGATGATCATATTTCATTTCATAGATATTACTATAAAACATAAGTTACTTCTACATGGGTGATTTCACCAGGTTCTGTGTTATCCTGAGAAAACATCTGGACTGAAAAAAAGTGTATATGTTTCGTTACAGAGATCTTTAAAAATTATTGTTAGGCATATTTGCTGATAAACAAGTACTTGATACTGAAATCTTCAGCCATTAGAAGCTATCAAATAAAATAGGTGTGGAAACACCCACCATGGCAATTGTATACATGGAGAACATTTTGATTTTCCTCCTTTTTTGCAGTGACCTCCAGTAAAGCTAAGAGTCTTATAAAGTCTAAACTCAAATATGTACACAGTTCAATCTAGCCTCTCCCAAAATATCTCCAGATAGTAGAATTTAAGCCAAATCTGCCTGACTTCTTGCTCCTGGCCACACATAACCCCATATTGTTTCTCATACACTGATATCCTCTCTGTGTCCATTTAACTGCTAATTGAGTTTGATAAAAGTTTTCTTTGAAAACAGCATTTACCTCTGAAGTTTGCATTTACATGATGAAATTAATTATTATTAGGCAGATTCAGATTGCTGGTATAGTAGTATTTTCCTTCAAATTCTGCATTTTTTTCTTAAGTAGCATGTACTTTTATCAGAAGTTACAATTATGACTTATTCATCTTACCCAGAAAACATGATCCTTCAAAAAATTGGCTTCATAAAGCAAAAAATCAAAAACAAAGAAAAATGAGGGGGGGGAGTCCTTCAGGAAAGTGCCAAATATAACTTCTACCCAATCAATTTTACTGTATAAATTTTTCTTAGCATGGGAAATAATTTTTGTTTTAGTGGGAGTAAAATCATGAGACTTAACATATTGCAATGATCTTATGAATCCAATAGGTTAAATTCAAAAAAAAAAAGAACTGCTTAGATGAAATGATGGTGAAGTCTAGAAGTTAGGGAGGAGTCCAGATTTGGAAGGACCTAAGAAGTCATTCAGAACAATCTCATTTAGAGGTAAGAAACCGGTGACTCATAGGTCTGTGTGGCTGCCAAGGTTACAAGGACAGAATCCAAACTTGGGCTCAAACACTAGTATCCTGCCTCCCTATAAAATGTGCCATGTACATCTATGACTTCATTGTTTGCAAAACACGGGACTTGTTTACATATTCCATGACTTGTTTGCTTCTTACAACAAACCTCAAGGCACACTTTGTGATTTCTAATTACAGGAGGAAAAATTAAATCGTTGGGATAATAATTAGAATAAATAGTTTCCAAGATAATAGTTAGAAATAAATAGATGGCTCTTCAGACTCCTAGCTCAGGTGCTTTTCCTTTCCCAAAGAAGAAGAGGAGGAAGGAAAAGAATAGTTCTTTTTCATTTTTGTTTTATGTTTTATCCGTGACACTGAAATTGTTTATTTTCTTTCATTAAGAGTCTTTCTTGATTACAGCTTTCAGTGATCATAAAAAGTCATCGGTCCTGATTTATATCATTTTAACAAATTCAAAAAGCTGTCAACAAGGCTCAGTTTAACAAAATATTTTCCACTTTTAATGCCTATGCTCTGGTGTTATGTAAATTTTGTGTGTAGAACATGCTGTTGACAGTAAAACTAACAAATAGGGAAGCAATCCTCATCTATAGCATCAACGGAATCCTGACCTCCTGAGTTTTCAAAAGAATCACAGAAAAGTTTCACACTATGTAACTTACGTGTACTCCAGAATAAATGAGGGCATTTTGCTTGAAACTTTCTTCTTATTCCATTTGTGCTGCTACAACAAAACATCTGAGACTGGGTAATTTATAAAGAATAGAAATTTATTTCTTACAGTTCTTACAGTTCAGGCTGAGAAGTCCAAGATCAAGACGCCAGCAGATTCAGTGTCTGGTGAGGGCTGCTCTCTGCTTTCAAGATGGTGCCTTGTTGCTGTGCCCTCACGTGGTGGAAGAACAGAATAGCAAACAGGAGCCAAATGCTTTGTGAAACCTCTTTTATCACGGCCTTAAATTCCATCTGTGAGGGAGGAACCCTCATGACCTAATCACCTCCTAAAGGCTCCCCCTCTTCATACTATTGCATTGGAGATTAAGTTTCCACTTAAATTTTGGAAGGACACTTTCAAACCATAACAAGTATGTAGTTATTTCCAGTTTAAATCTCACTGAAAATTACAGTCATATCTGCATAAAGATGGTTGAGTCAATGACAAACCACATATACAACTATGGACTCATAAGATTAGAATACAGTATTTTTGCTGTACCTTTTCTATGTTCAGGTATGTTTAAATACACAAATACTTGCCATTGTGTTACAATTGCCTACAATATTTAGTACAGTAACATACTGTACAGGTTTGTACCCTAGGAGTGATAGTCCATACAACACAGCCTAGGTGTGTAGTAGGCTATACTATGTAGGTTTGTGTAAGAACACTCTGTGATGTTCGCTCAGTGATGAAATCACGTAAGGACACATTTCTCAGAACACATCCCTATCATTAAGCAATGTGACTGTAATTGTGCTCTACCATCGGTTTCTTTTTAAA